AGGGGAGGGAACGGGACGGCCTGGCAGAGCGCCTTCAACCAGGGCTCCGCGAGCTGAGAACATGGTAGTAAAGAGGGGAGAGGAAACAGCGCGCTCCGGCCAGGCATCGCGCAACCGCTGGCGAAGAAAACGGATGCGCTGGAAGACAGGTCCAACATTGCGCGCGGCAGGTAACGGTCGCCGCGCAACGCTCAGTTTTGAGAGGCCGCGAATTGCCCTCGGCGCAGATTCTCTGATACTGGCTGGCCATATGCCACTGACGCCGTTCAATCTTCGCCGCCCGCGACGGGGTCGCCGCCGCGGCGAATCCCGCGCCCTCTCGGCCAGGCCGCGAAGCGCCTCTTGAGCAGGGACCGACCGTCCCGGCATTCCTATGGGCCTACCACCACATGTTCTTAGAACCCCAAAATGTTCTAAGAGCAAAAACGATGCTCTTAGAACATAAGCCCGGTGGGAAAAAAAAACAAGACAGTCCCAGCCAGATCTGTTCCAAGAACGTCTCGTGGAAGCCACAGAAAAAGGTTCTTAAACAAATTCTTGGTAGGTCTAGAGGCACGCCAGGACGCTCCGCCACTGCTCGAGCCTCGGCAGCCTGGCCACAGCGGGAAATACGGGGGGTCGATCTGCGCGGTGGAGGACGCCGCGGAACACCGACACCCGGGCCCCGCCGCGCGCCGGGCTCGGCCGCCGAGGGGTGCCAGAGAAAAGGGAGCTTCGAACCAAACTGGAGGGGCCCCAGGACACACAAATGAATACAAACAAATAAGAAGGATTCCCCATATTTATTCGATATTTTCAGGGGTTTTGCCTTCACCCCCCAATTCCAATATTTCCCCATATTTTCATGGAAATCGACGATTAATTGTGTCGGTATGTTTTTTCCCTCCTGACAAACCAGCCCCAAGGGCCACCGCGCCGCGATGGCAACGCCAGCTTTGAGCCTCGGATCGAAGGCCTGGCGTAGGAGGCCGAGGTGCTACGACGGGGCGCGCTTGAAACTGAAGCGCCCGTGCGGCTCATGTCCAGCGAAATGTGCGATGCGCGCGCGCGCGCGCTCCAGTCGATCTCTGCGCCCAGCATCTCGCCCTCCAGGAGAAGCTGGATGTGACGATGCAGTGTTGCTACCTTCTGCGCGGAAATACGCGCCGCTGTCTGACTTGCCGCCCCCCGACGTCGCGGCCACTTCTCCCGCCGCCCCCCCCCCCGCCGTCGTCAACGACGAGTTCAGGGGCAGCTTCTGGTCCGCAAGTGTCGACGCAAAGACGCGCGACCAACTTGCCGCCGTCGTCTAGGCACTGCCCCCCCTGTGCATTGCGGCCTAGAGAGGCATCCAACAAAACCACCACGCTCGTTGACGACGTATCCCCCGCCCCCGCACGGGCGCCTGCGCTTGTCGCCCGTTGAGAAAGCTAAGCTGCTACCTCGGAGGCGCGCGCGGCATCCGGCACGGGTTGCGCGGCGAGGCTGTCGGAGGCGCCAGCGCCAGACGGTTCAATGGGAACCTTCGCGGTCAGGATCACCTTCGAACTCGCGCTGCAAATCATCGAAGCAAGGAAAATTCCCAGACGACGCCTTCGCGCGGGTTGTCTTGCCCATCTGCTGTTGGTCGGTATAGTTCAGATGTTTCGTCAATCTGGTCGCGCTCGGAATGATATGCCGCTGCTGCGGGACATTCGACTGCTTCTTCTGCCCTTCTTCTTCCAGAGCTTCGCGCCGTGGCGCGCGGGGGGTCCACCCCTTCGCGAGCGCCGCCGTCGGCGGGGAAGGTGGCGGCGGCACTCGCCGACTCTGCCTTCGACGCCGCCTCTGCCCGCTCCCAGCGGCGCCCATTTTCCTGATATCCGTCAGCCCCTGATATTGAGCAGGGGCCGACCGTCCCGGCACTTCTATAGGCCTGCCACCAAACATGTTCCAAGAACAAGAACAGTGTTCGAAGAGTAAAAAGCAATGTTCTTAGCACGCAATCCTCGTGCGTTACACGAGACAGTCCCAGCCAAAACCGTTCTAAGTACATCTCGTGGGAACCGCAAAAATGGTTCTTAGAATATTGTTCGGTAAGCCTTTAGGCGCGCCAAGACGCTCCGCCACCGTTTGAGATACAGGGTCTGCGCCGCCCCCGGCCGCGCCCGGCGGCGGCGGCTCGGGCACCAGTCGGGCGCAAGACTCCGTCGTCACCAGGGCCGTCGCCGCAGGAGACCCCCCCCGCCCCGATCGTTCGAAGGGCGCGGGTTGCCCTCGGCAGGCACGGTCATCGCCGCCAAATGGAGCCGAGCCCGCCCGCGAAATCGCGTGGCCGGCCAGGCGCGCGGGCGAAGCAAAACAAGCAAAAACACGAGTGAACGTAGATCCTCAGAGGTCCGCAGTGGTCTTGGATCGGCGCTGAATTGCCCTCCCTGGCGCGCGGAGCGAGCTGGGGCAGGCGCCGGGGTCGCCGCCGGCGAGTGCCCGGCGCCGACCCGAGACATCCACGCGGAGCACCGAGCGTTTATGTCTCTGCCACTTGCGCGTCGACAAAAACAATGTCATACGCGAGATGGCACGGCGCCCGCGCGCGGTGGCTCGCGAGGGCCGCCGGCGCGACGCGCCGCGCTGGATGCGAAGGCGCCCGCGCGCGACCTTGCGCGCGCACCTTGCGCGCCAATGTCGGCAAAGACGACGTCATTTTTGGAGCCGCCCACTCCGCCCCTCGAGTGCGAGGCGAAGACGCGCAGCGCCGCGCCGGCCGCGGCAGACGCGCTGTCCGCTGCGATGCGACCAGCAGCCCCGCCGGGGCCCGTTGCCGCCGTGGAGCGGTGCGCCCCGGAGCCGCGGAGGGCCCCAGCCAGAAGGGCCCGAGCCAGATTGGCCGCGGGGGCTTCTTGAGGGGGAGGGGGCGGGGGAGAGGAAGGGCGAGGTGAAGGCGCGGGGTCGGGCCTCGCATCGAAGGCGGGGCGTTTCTGGGCCCTTCTCCACGCAGGGGCGCTGCGCGCCAGGACTCTGGGAACTCTGCGCGGAGAGAACGAATGATGGAGAACTCCTTGGCAGGCGGCCTCAATTCTCTCGGGCGCGCCGAAGCCCCGGTTTACCCGAGTCCCCGACGCAGGGGCCCTGAATCTTTCTCAGGAGGCCGACAACGGACGGCGGGTTTCACTACAAACTATGAACGCCAAATGCCCCGCCAACGCCAGGATCATCGGGCGCGCGGGCCTGAGCCTGGAGGCGCCGGGTCTGTCGGCTCGCTGCCCATCGGGTCTGGCGTTGCCTGAAGTGCGCCTGGCCCAAGGCACCTCAGGATGTCCAACGAGGCCCCCACGGCCGCCAGAGCACCCCTCACGAGGTCCAGAAGGCCCCAGGGGCTCCAGAAATGAGCGAAAAATTGGGAGTTCCCATTGGCCAGGGGCTCCTTTGGCAACCCTCGATCGAGGTGGGCGAGAGAGAGGGTCTGGACAGAGACTGAGGAAAGACGAAGGAACAGAGGGGTGGGGACGGTGGGGACACATTCCGGCGAGCCACCCATTGTCATTCTCTGCTTGGGTACGGTTGGGAAGGAAGAGGGAGGGGATTCAGGCGGTTGTGGCACGGTCTGCTTCTTTTCTGCTATGGCGTTATTGTTGTGCCCAGGTGGGCTGTGGGCGGACAGCGAGGGCTTATCTAGAAAGAACTGGACTACTACTAATACGACAAATACGACACATATAAACTAAGTAATACTTGAAACGAGAAGAGGAAGAGTCATAATACTAATAATAGGTAGAGACGTTGCAGGAAGGGGAAGAGGAGACAAGGCTGGGCAGAATAAAATATGTGGGAGGGTGCATGGGGTGGGGGGAGGTGGAAGAAGGTGTGGAGGAGAGGGTAAAACAGGACGAGGAGGGGGATGATAAGGTGCACCTTTTGTAATTGCACGTAGCGCCGCGTGACCTCACTAAACAAAAAAAGAGGACCATCGAGGTCGTGGAACATAGATCTGATCGGAACAGCGCGTCCCCCGATTCAGCGTTGTAGAGCCGCGCCCGAGAAAAGCCTCCTGAAACCCGAACTCAGAAAAGGCTGCTGCGCTGCCTTCACTACGCCGGAAATGCGGCCCCAGAGATCCGACGCACTGTTTGCTTCAACCGTGGCACAACCAAACTCCCAACCTGTTCCCCGGGCAAGCCTCTCGTCCCGAGCCAATGTTTGGCGGTCGCGGGGGCCAGAGCGGAACACTTACAGTCAATCAGTATAGTGAGGATGCGCGATGAGGATGCAAGAGCCTTGGACGCCCATGTCGAGGCTTTCCGAGCGAGGCGCGGCCAGCGAAAGCGGCGAAGGATGGACCGAGGAGGCAAGGATGCAAGGGCACCCTTGGGAAGGCCGCCCATCCTTACTGTGCGGGTTGACTGTACTTACGTTCCCTACCTTGGAGGCCTGGGGGCCGCATCTCCCAACCCCCCTTCGAGCACACACGGCCCCGGCTCCGACGAGCGCAGCCTGTGCTGTGCTGTCTCGAGATTGACCCCTGCAGAGCCTTGGCCTCCCACAGGCGCAGCGCAAACAAAGCAAGGGCCCCGATGCTCCAGGTGCACCACGCGCACCTGCTCCTCTCCCTTCTCCCGCTTCAGCTCATCCTCAGTCCCCCCATCCCTTATCATCCCACGAGCGGCAAACATATCCGTGCCCGCGCCCACGCGGTCTGCGCACGGGGCGTTTATTCGCGCATGCCCCGCGCGTAACGTATCCGTGCGGCCGCGTACCCGCGGGATCGCGCCCCAGCCCCAGAAGCCAGACCACGAGGGGGCGGATACAACAAGTTTGTGTTGTGCCAACCCCGGCGTCGGCTCCTGACACCGCGGGAAGATTTCAATCTTGAAAGATCGAACGTTGATTCAAATATGAGCCGATTCTGGGTCGCCGACTCTGGGCGATGCTTCCGTCTGCTCGCCGCTCGTGAGTGTCATCATCCTTTATGTTTTTTCCCCCAGCCCTCCTGCGTTGGGTCCTCGCTGTGGGAAGAGCACTGTGGTCTCCGTCCTCCTTCGCCCTCCACCCCTCCTGCTCCTCCTCCTGCCCCTGCTCCTCCTGCTCCTCCTGCTCCTGCTCCTCCTCCTGCTCCTGTTCCTGCTCCTCCTCCTCCTCCTGCTCCTGCTCCTGCTCCTGCTCCTCCTCCTCCTCCTGCTCCTGCTCCTGTTCCTGCCGTTTCCCTGCTCCTCCTCTTCCTGCCCCTCCTCCTGCTCCTGCTCCTCCTGCTCCTCCTCCTGCTCCACCTCCTGCTCCTCCTCCTGCTTCTGCTCCTCCTCCTCGCGGTTCTTCCCTGGGGGACTGCGAAGAGTGCGGCTCCCTGGGGGACTGCGAGGTGCGCAGCCGTCGCCACTTTCGTGCGGGCTCCTGGGAGGTCCAGCGGAGTGGAGTGGTACGCTCAAGTCGGGCGTGCCCCCCCCTACGGTGGGATTTTCGATGGAAATTTACAAATCGTCAAAACATACACAAAACTGCAAAAAATAATCCAAAAATGGTCCCCAGACTATTTTTTGGATTAGTTTTGAATATTCCCCCTGTAGAGGGACAGGCCCGACTCAATGGCACGCAGATCTGGCCGAGACCCCGCGGCTCCCTGGGGGGCTGCGAGGTGCGCAACGGTCGTCACTTTGCCCCCGGGAGGTCCCGCGGAGGGGAGGGCCACGCAGCCCCTGCAAGATGCTCGCGACTCCTTGCGCGAGGAGGGGTGCTCTTGCGCACTGCGGGTCCTCACCATGTTCGTTCGTGCTGCCACATGTTCCGGTGACCGTTGTTCTCCTTTTCCGGGCGACGGTCGTTACCCAGGGGGGGGATCGGGCGGGAGGGTAACAATGACGGCGGCCGCGGCGAGCACCCGCCAGGGTGCGTCCGCGCCACCAGCGCACCAATCGCCCGCGAGCACCACAGCGTGTATGGGGGGTCCAGACCCCCCCCCCCAATGCCGTCGTTGGCGTCACCCCAAGGGGGGGGGTGGTTGGCGCGTGCAAGAAAGGTTCCCCTGGGGAAGAGACGCAACGCTCACTAGAAAAAAGGTTGGGTACGTCGCACGGCGTTTTTTGAGCAGGGACCGACCGTCCTGGCATTCCTATAGTCATACCACGAACTGTTCGTAGAACCCAAAGTGCTCGAATACCAAAACCAATGTTCTTAGAACAGAAACCCGATGTGATAAAACAAGACGGGCTCCGCCAGAAATGTGCTAAGAACATTTCGTGGAAACCGCAGAAGGTTCTTAGAACATTGTGTGGTAGGGCTATAGGCGAGCCAGGACGCTCCGCCACTGCTTCAGTGTTCTTCCCCCCCCCCCGCTGCTCCGCCCACCCCGCTGCTGCAGGAGAGAGCGCACGGCCAGGGCACCGAGCCTCGTCCGCAGCGGCTGCGCGGACGCCTATATGATAGCTTGGCGGCGAGCGGAGGGGGGGCAAGCAGCAAGGGCGGGCCTCCCCAGAAGGCTCGGCAGTCCCCCGCGGCCCTCTGAGAAGTTTCCTGGGCCTTCCCCGAGGACGCGGCAAACTTCTCAGAAGGCGCGACAGGGTTTCTGAGGAGCCCCGCCGCCTTCTGAGGCAGCGGTCTCCTCCTCACTCTCCCCCCCCCTCGCTCGCAGCCGAATAGCGCCGAAGCGGAGGAGAGCGAGGACGCCGGCGGGTGCGACGCCGAGCTCGCGGCCTCACCGACTGCCAAGCTGCCGCAACTCCCACTGGCAAAGCGAACAGGGGGGGACCAAGAGGTGCCGATACCGCCACTCCAGGGGCCTGGGGTGCGTTCTGGCCAGAAGCTCGAACCGAATCCAGCGGTGACGGCGAGGGCCTCCCAGGAGGCCCCTGACAAAAAGGCGAGCACGAGGGGAGGGTAGCGGTATCAGTACCCTGTCCTCCTCCGAGAAGAGCAGCGTGAGCATGGACCTGCCCAGACATGATGGGCCTGCTTTCCACCACCACCATCATACGTCGGAGGGGGAGGGGGTCCTCCTCCTTCTCCTCCTCCTCCACCTCGTCCTCGTCCGTCTCCTCTTCGTCCTCCTTCTCCTACTCTTCGTCCTCCTTCTCCTACTCCTCGTCCTCCTCCTCCTTCCCCCCTCCCACTTATGGTGGGTGGTGGTGGAAAACAGGCCCATCAGGACATGCTCGCGTCGTGGAGGGGCGACTGGGCTGGCCACGGCGCCCGAGATTACGGACGCCGCCCGGCAGGCAGGGACTGAGCGGGGCGAGAAGCCCGAGGCGGAGGAGGAGCCGGGAGGACGGGGAGGCGGAGTCAGTCGGGGGCGCGCAAAGATGGACTAGCGATCCACGGTGGGGTCGTTCGTGGAGAAATGTGCCCATGAGCCAGGGGTCTTCAGACCGCGGGGGCTTCCTCATCTGATGAGGGCGGCGGTGACCTGGGCGGCAGGAATCTCTTCGCCCCCCGGGGCAAGCATGCGCGCAGAGTCGAAAACAAGCTGGTAAGCTTAGGTATGTGTTACGCTTTAAGCGTTGCCATATCCCAGGCTTTGGCTCATATCGCATGAGCAAGAGTGCAAGACGAAACATGGGATCTGGAGTAAAGGATAGGATGGGCATCGTCAATGGAAAAGGTATTTTCCGATCTCTGATGCAAGTCGTGCGCCTCAGTGAGGCACAGTCATATATTTGGCCGGGCCCGGCTTGAGCCAGGCACGGCAGCGGTACATGCTCGATTTATACCTCGCCTTTAACCTTCTCCGTTTAAAGTCGGAGGGGGAGGAGACGAGCAGGTACCGCACTTCTACATTATGCGGAAAAACAGTGCTAAGCAGCAGCGGCTGCCTACAAGGAAAGGGCGCGCGAGTAGCCTCGCTACCGGCGAGTTTCCTCGCTACTAAAGCGCACCTGCCCGCGGGTTTCCCCGCTGGCTCGGGAGGCAGGGCCGTCCTGAGACGACCTGCCCGCCCTATACGGCGTATGTTTCTTCAGCTCGTGCTTGAAGGATTGCTGGCCGGCCATTACTTGTAGGAGCAACGCGCGGTCAATACTACCTTTGGTATGACCATCGGCAGTCATATCCCGCGTGTCACACCATTGGACGCTTTCCACGATTCCGCGTTCCATCATCTGGCGGATCCAGCTGATGTGCCCAAGCAGAGTACATTCTGTGGGCTTCTTCAGATCTTTGCTAGACAAAGACTTGAAGACAGACTCGGCATCAATAGTCAGAGTGACTTTGATACATAGACCACCCATTTCCAATATGTTCTTTAACTGTGTGGGGGTCAATGGTCCCGAGTGTAGCTCGTGGAGCGTTACAATGGTCGGGTAGCAGTCTTCCAAGTTGTGGGCTGCTGCCAGTGTTTCCGCAGAGTAGCTCGAACGCACCTGCAGTCGATGAGACTTGCAGTATGCGTCCACCAGGTGCACGACGGGTTTCCCCGCTTGCGTGTGGCCACGCCTCAGCAGGTTAGCCCCGCGGATACCATAGCCTTTGACTTCGTCGTCTTCATCTCCGTTGAGACGACGATAGCCAGAATCGCTATGCAGGTCGACTTCTCCTGTTGGGGTCATAGCTTGATACACGATCTTCTTCGGACCTGCCTGTAGCTTTCTGGTAACCGCGTTTAGTCGTCGTACCTGGATGTTTGTCGGTTCCTGGATACGTTGTAGTGAGACAACATAGACCATCAGCCATACCTGCGTGATCAACGCATAGGCTAGAGCGCCACGAAGACTGACGAACATATCAGAAATCGTCTTTGTCGCTTTGCTCTCAGGATCAGCTCCTGTGAGTTCTGGATGTGTGATAGGACGAAGCTGTTTGATGTATTCGTCCTGATCGAGAGTGACGCTCCCATCATCGGTCTTGTTGTACCGAACGGCACAGTTTGTGTATGTGTGCTTGTTCAGTTTGCACTTCCCAAACGTATCTTCAACACACTTGACATACTTGTCAATAGCCTCTTCCTTCCCAGTCATATTGATGTCATCAACGTGCTTGGCTGTCAAGAGGTTTGGGCTCATCTCGAACTCTTCGTCGTATGAAGTAGGCTGTAGCCCAAAGCTCCTAGTGATGGACCTGAGCTTGAGCGAGAATGCCCTGGGAGCATCCTTCGTGCCCGTCCCCGGTTTCAGACACCGGAGACAATGCTTTGATTCGTCATATGACTCAAAGCCTGGCAGTGTGCGAAGGACAGCTGCTGACCCAGGTGGTAGTGCGAAGCACACCACACGCTCTTTCTCGCCCGTTGCCGCGGCGAGCTCGCCATAGGTCAGTCCCTTCAAGAAAGCCATGTTGATGTCCAGGGAAGCGATGATCCAAGCTTTGTTGCATGCAGCAGAACTTGCGAGCAGTCTCTGGCTTGACCTCCTTGCCGTGCCAGAGAAGGTTTCGACATCAAAGGCTTCAAGGTCCATGAAGCCACGGAGTACCAAGCGTAACCTGATCGTCCTTTCCATTTCGCCCTTTTCGTTCTTGACAAACTTCCATTTGTATACGTAGCGTGACGTCATGATGTTAGACGCCTTGCTTAAGTCAGTCATCTGGAAGCATTTGTTGTCAAGCCAAGTCTTCAATTCTGTGTAGAGGGCTTTGGAAACTTTGACCGGATTTGCTTGGATGTCGGCCTTCGTGAGTAGATCGTCTTCCTTGACGACCACGGCACGTTTGGAGGCAGCACTAACGTATACTCGCATAGTTGTGACGCTGCTGTCATCCAACAATCGGTGTTGCTGCTCGGACAGGACGACTTTGGACATGTCTGCAGTGAAGCAGAGCTCGATGTACTTCCCGTGCTCATCGGAGTCCAGATCATATTTGCTATCCGGATCCGTGGAGCATAAAGGAACGTAGTAAGAAGTGTCCATGTCGTATCCTGGCGGGTGACCCCGCTCCGGCAAGTGGCCTTGCACATCTTCACAGGTCGTAGAGACTAACACACACTGTGTGTCTGTCATGTATGTGGGAACTGTATGCATGACTTCCTCTGTGTCAGCTTCAAGGAGTGTTCTGTCATCCATCAGTTCAGCATACCACGACTTCAAGACAAAAGCATCCAGATCTTCTTCTGTTTCCTCTATGATGGTCGGGAGCCGACCATCGTTATCCGTAGGAGGCTCCTCAGGAGCAGCTGCTGGAGGTGATTCGCTTGGTGGTGGACCATCAGCGAGTTCCTCAAACTTAGTGAGGTCTTGGTCAAATCCAGCAGACGGCTTCCTGGATTTAAGACACTGGATGATGCGTGAGTGTGTAGATCCTGTGATGTCATAGATGTTCAAGGCAGTGCCATCAGCTTCATAGTAATGAAAACCAGGGGTCACATCATTATCATAGTGCACTAGTGTACAGCTGTCTGCATAGGGTGCAGCAGGCAACTTCGTCAGGCTCTTGGCAAGTCGTACAGCAACAACGTTTTCAATACGAAAGTAGTTGCGTATGAGGTACTGAAGAGCCAAGTGCACCTTAGGCGAAAGTCGGCTCGCAGCAGTCATCTGCAGCCGACCCTGTTTCGCTGGTAGATATCCGAAAGTCATGGCGGGTTTCCCCGCTGGCAGACCGGCAATAAAGGCCAATACTGTCCGAAGGGCCGTATTGTCCGATCCTATCTCGCGGACCATAAGTGCTTCGATGTACAGTGTGTGTCGTGTGTCAGGATACTGTACTCGCACTTCGCGACTGCCGACCTTCACGATGACCTGGCCTCGGTCAGGTTCGTTGCGGATGACCGGGTATGGACCACTCCATCCACCCCAGTCGTCTTTCGTGGTGGTCGGGCGATGATAGTCCACGAGATCTCCCTCTTTGTAGTGAAATTCACCCGTAGCAGTAGTCTTCGTACGGAGAGCCCTGTTCGTCTTGGCAACCGCAGTGGCCTGCGTGATTGCCTCCAGACTAACCCTCCTGATTGTTTCCTCCCTTGAGTGATCTGATGATTCAGCGGACTGATCATGATCCAAGACAGGGAAATCGGGAAGCATAGCTGGTTGTCTGCCATACAGCGCATTGTACGGAGACACTTCATTGTAGAAGGTAAATGCGTTGCTGGCAAACAAGGCTTCATGTAAGAGACGAGTGAAATTGAGAGGAATATTTAATCTATTCAATTCTTCTCCCATCACGTGTAAGAGGTGTCGCAGGATGCCGTTCCTAGCTTCGATAGTTGTAGCGTGTTGGCCACGCGCTCGAATACGAAGCTCTGTTCCCTTAGCCTTAAGGATGGCCTTTGCTGTATCATTATTCAGTGCTCCTTCCCCATCGGAGTATAAGATTTTAGCAGGGCCATGTTGCATCCAAGTCGTATGATAGGCATCGAGAACAGTATGCATGGCTTTATCAGGAATCTCTGTGCCAGCTGCCCAGCGAATACAACGGTCGATGATGTGAAAAACAATATGTTCCTGTTTGTAAAAGAAAAGATCACATTCGACTTCCTCGTTGAAACGTCCTGGCAGTGACACAGAAGGCATCACCGTGTTGCCTGGTTTGTCCCAGGCTCGACATTCTCTACACGAGTCACAAATGCCTTTGATCAGACTCAAACGGGTTTCACCCAGACCAACCTTGGTTAGAATCATCCGCATTTTTGGCTCCTTGGCATGAAACCATCTCAGGTGGAGTTTGCGGAGTTCTCGCTGCACTACAGCTGGGTCGAAGCTGCGCAGGTTTTGGAGGCTGAGCTGAACGTCGAAGCGAGTCCAATCAGGGAGCCTTGGCCTTGGCCTCGGCTCTGCTTGAGGCTGCGGCGGTGGTGGAGGATCTCCTCCCTCCATGCGTCCGCGCCTTGCTGCAACTTGTGGCAGTCTACGGTGATCGTCAGAGCTGCCAGCGCCACTGTTGCCACCATTAGCCCCGTCGGCTCTGGTGATGTCATGGCTGCTGGCGCCTGCGGTTGGATCGCCCTCACCAGGCCGTGGCGGCCTAGGCGCGCGTATGCGCGCTCTCGCGGCCGGCGCCGCTTTTGCGGCTGGCGCCGCTTCTGCGGCTGGAGCCGCTTCCGCGGCTGGCGCCGCAGGAGCGGCTTGCCCCGCCGGGCGCGGCTGGCCAAAGTTATCTGGCAGCTTCCATTTTTCGGCGAATCTGCATTGGCCAGATATCTTGGTGTGGTGAGGATTGCTCTTCTGATATTCCTTCTTACAGCTTGGACAGTCCCAGTAATACGGTTCAACATCATACCACCGACACATCTTCGGATCCCTGCTGTGCTTTGGTGATTGCTTGTAGTTGTTGTCCACACAGCCAGGGCACCCAAGACCGCCAGGTGGTGGTCGCCAGATTTCTCCGTTTGGGTGTCTCCGGATTGTTGGGTCGTCCAAGTCGTAGCCAGCACTGTTTGTTACGAACGCATAGCTGCGTTCACGATTCGCGAATGGATCGCGACCGTAAGCAAACAGGTCTTTGGCGATTTGCACCGCATCAACGATCAGTGACTGCATTCTGTAGGTATACTGCGCCGCCCTTGCTAGTTCTTTGTTACAAGCATTGGCGTGCACATGATTACCTGGACAACGCTTGCCTCTGAAAGGTGCCAACAACTCTTCTTTGTTTGCCATCATCTGTGTTGGCTTGCGGATGTATTGTCCAAATGA